AACTATTAAAGGATCGGATTTCTCGTTTATGGTAACCCATGCGAAAGCTTTGTCTCTTCTAGCTGGTGTTGAGGGAGCCCTTTAGTTTTTTGTTGGTAACTGTAGAAGTTTCATAGGCTAAGTAAAGTACGAAATGCATACGTTATGCTATGAAATGCAATAAACTAAACTTCATTGCACTGACGTGTGGATAGAGTGAAATGAATCTTATTTTATCAACAAAACTCATCCCTTTACTAGTCATCTTATTACTTTTCTTAATTACTTTATTACTTTTATTACTTAATTATTTTCTTACCTTAATCGAATGATCTTTCATCGTATTTTATTTTTTTAATTTTCTTGCTATAAGCCAGCTATAGTCTATCTTTTGATCCTGACGGACCACCAAGTGGAAAATATTTAATTTCGTGGATCACTAGCCCGAACTTTGAAATGCCTTCGAAAGTTAAAAAAGCAAACTGTTTTTAAAAATAATTCAAAACAAAGGCAGCCGTACATAATAATACTTAAGAAATAGTACTCATTCTAACTTCAATAAGGTTAAACAAGCTTTTATTCATTGTTGATTGATTTATCCAAAAATAGAAGAAATGTTTTGTTTGTTTGTTTTTTTTAACTTTTTTTTGCATGAGAGTTTTACATGAAAATTGAAATAACTATCTCTTTCCGATAATTTGAAAGTATTTTTAAATTGCGTACACAAATCAGCGTTGTTAATATAAATCATTATCCCTTGAACCAAACAATTCCATTCGAAATAAATCAACATTTATCACGGAAAAAACTAATTCATCTAAAATCAGATATCGAATACGTTAAAAATGTCATTATTGTCAAGTTATTGGTTCGCAAAGTAAATTACAACATACTTCCTCATTGATATTTCTTTCATTTACAGCTAGCATTTGTTTAGAAATTTTGATTTTGAAGTTTTCGTATAGGTAATAGCAAAGTCATGTATTTCTTGCGAAATCAGAACATCCAGCTTGTTAACTGCAATTTTAAAACATTTCATTGAAATGGAAATATGACTGATAACAGAAATGTTGTAATTTACATTTTTTTTTTCGCTATCAACAATGTTTCCAATCAGTATGATTGTTTAGTAACGTTGAGTGTGATTATCGATTACTTAGAATCGCGAAGAAAGTAATTTTGAAATTTATATTGGTTTCAATTGTTGAGATATTTGATTAGATAGCTTGACGGCATATAATCACAAAAAACGCGTGTTTGAAACGTATTATAATTTATTAGAAAGTGACAAATATGTAATATTGAGATAAGGACGAAGTATAAAACATGCGATTTTTTTATCTTACCATGTATCTATTTTCTTGCAATATAATCGATAGCTTTAAAAAAGTGTCACTTTTATACAATTTATTTATTAAATATATAAAAAATAATAATTAATCAACAAAAATATAATATTAAAAAATTGGCAAAATTACCGAAAATCTGAAAGATTTGGTTTTTAAATGTCTACACCACTCTACAAAATAATTCACAAAAAACGTAGCAGTTGCCATAAGAAATCGTTTTACAGAATATCTTGGTGTCTCTTCTCAACTTCAGCAAGCTGCCAACTTTCTATGCTTTTTGCAAGAATTTATTCTAGTGGTAGCTATGTTAATGTTTTAATGTATTAGTTTTTATTCATTTAAATTTATTTTCCACACCTCTTAATATAAACGATTTAACAAATTCATATGCAACGCCACTGTGTTCCACCTCTTTCGTGGTAAGGTTTTTAAAATGTTGTTAAAATTACCAAAAATTCTGACAGCTTTGGTTTTAAAATGTCTACCACTCTATAAAATATTTTGCAAAATGCGTAGATGTTGGCAGATCTGCTTGAGTATCTGCTGAGGGGGAAATGGGGAAAAAACAGATAAATGTTCGGCACAATTTAAAAATTTGACCTTCTTTCCCGCAATCTATAACTTGGAATGAAGTAGACAAAAGCAATTCATTACTGTATAATAACTCTAAAATTTCGACCTCCTTTCCCGCAATCTATAACTTGGAATGAAGTAGACAAAAGCAATTCATTACTATGTAATAACTCTAAAAATTCGACCTCCTTTCCTGCAATCTATAACTTAGAATGAAGTAGACAAAATCAATTCATTACTGTGTAATAACTCTAAAAATTCTACCTCCTTTCCCGCAATCTATAACTTGGAATGAAGTAGACAAAAGCAATTCATTACTATGTAATAACTCTAAAAATTTGACCTCCTTTCCTGCAATCTATAACTTAGAATGAAGTAGACAAAATCAATTCATTACTGTGTAATAACTCTAAAAATTCGACCTCCTTTCCCGCAATCTATAACTTGGAATGAAGTAGACAAAAGCAATTCATTACTATGTGTTGTTAATATGCAAATAAAATCTCATTTTTCCTCTCCTTCTCAAATAAGTTGCGCGAGTTGCGTGATGTAATACAACGACTTCCCGATAGGGGAAATAGATATATATTTGTTGAAGAAGCTGACTAGTTGTTGGTAGACCCATCAGTCTTTTGTGCAACTTAGGAAAGCTCATGGAAAAAATTATCTACACAAGGATCAAGCCTCACCTTACTTCACTACCAGATGAGCAGTATGGCTTTCGGAAGCATCTTGACACAACCAAACAGCTCCTCAGAATTGTCGACTATATTGGACGTGGACTCCATAACAAACAGAGTTCAGCACTACTGATGCTAGATATTGCAAAGGCTTTCGACCGAGTTTGGCATCAGGGTCTCATCTTCAAGCTTATACAACTGAAATTCCCAACTGGTATCATTAAAATAATACAGGCCTACTTACATAATAGAACCTTTCAAGTTAACTTTAAAAATATGAAATCAACAAACAGGAAAATAACAGCAGGAGTACCTCAAGGAAGCATCCTTGGGCCCATACTATTCATATTATTTACCTACGACTTTCCCATCGACCGACAAGACTTTAACAGCATCACAGCACTTTTCGCAGATGATACAGGAATTGTCGTGAAGTCCAAAAATCCCAACATTGCCTTACAANATTGATTTGTTGTGGGAACATGGAGGACTTTGAGACTCGACAGATTTAACGTGCATCAGTCACCATTTACTACACGGGGAGTCTTCGGCCGGCGAGGATCGAACCCACGACCTCTTGGATATGGGCCCAGCGCCCTACCGACCAGGCTATCCCGTCCTACGCTACCACTTTATTAAAACTATTCCAGAAAGCGGAGCAGTTGGCATCCCTGTACTCTATTGTCCCTTGACAAAATGTCACATGAATATCAGGTTGCAACGCGCGACGTGTATGTGTTGTCGTCGGCCACTAACGTTTGGCTTGGACATGGCACCAACGTGTTGTCACCGGCTGTTAGTGTATGGCTTGCTTATGGCACCAACGTGTTGTCACCGGCAGCTAACGTTTGGTTTTCACGTGACAACACGTTGGTGTCACCGGACATGAAAGTGTTAATATGGTGGGTAATCGTGAATTTTGTCTCGTAAACTTTTAGTGATTACGTTTGCTTTTTTAACCGTTAAAAGAAACTGAGAGCAAAGAGTTAACACATTGCTGACCGGCAACTTCTCTGTGGAACTGATGTGGAAGTAAAACAATATAAACAAACTTTAAATTTTTTATTTATTATTCAACTCTTAATATTTCTTTTTCGTATGATAAAAAGTAAAACAATCACCTACGTGTAATTGTTCACTTTACTTTACTTTCTTTAGAACAAATTGGGAGCCTGGGCAGCGCAGCGTCCCCTAACCCATACATCATGAAATAGTATACAGTGTATGAAAACATTTCGTATTATGCATAATTATGGTGGGTAATTGTTCACCACAAGTTTTGCAAATATATCGGGTTTCGTAAAGTTATAATAAATTGGTAGAGAATTAAATAGTAAAACTTGAAAAGTAAGGAAAATTACGCCTACTTTTTAAAATAGTCACCACGAGATCACTGCTAATATGATTGCTATGACGCAACAACTATGAACGCTTGGCCACGAAAACACGAGTTAAATCGTGACCAGTCAGCAATGTGTTAAAATCTAATTTTATCTGTTACGCATTTCCACTAAGTGGTCTAAATATGAAGAGCACCAATATGAAAAAGTGGAAATACTTATTAGTTTTTTTTTTGTTTTTTTTTTCTACTAATAAGATATTTCTTTTTGTTATCTACCATTTTAGCTTTAAATAACAATGTGCCGTTTCTAATAATGAAATATTTGAGCCGTGGTGGCTCAGGAGGTAGAGCATTCGCCTTCCAATTAGGTGAACCGGGTGCGAATCCCAGCGATGGCTGGTAGATATGAATTCGTCACCTGGCTCGCACCGACCACAGTGCTAAGGTAAAATATCCTCAGTGGTAGACGAATAATGGGTTAGAGTCCCCTTGCAATCGAGTTAACCGTGGGAGGTTTTCGTGGTTTTCCTCTCCATGTAAAGCAAATGCGGTTTAGTACCACCAATTAGTCCTCCAAGAAGGCAAATTTCTTCCAATACTTGATCCAGGAGTTCCCTTGTATTTTGGGTTGGGTTCAAAATTACAAGGCTACGGGGTAGTAGTCGTAAACCCAAAAGTAGGGTCGGCTGTTCAACGACGGTTATAAAATAAAATAAAATAAAATAATTAAATACTTAGGCTACCTCATCTTTCTTTTTAAAAAACGAAACTTCTCAAGGCTAAACTAGAGAAAACTCAAGGCTAAAATGAGTAATCACACCAAGAACCATACATAAAAACACAAATTTTGCTACAACTAGGAAATATTTGCCAACAAAACCGAGCAAGCAAGCATCCCTGCGATTCGCAGCGTAACAAAATTGAGTTGTCTCCCACTAGCTTTCGTAATTTGCCTTAACATGAAAATTCAAGCGCTTTTGATTTATCAATTAATATGAACTTCTCATCTTATCTGAACTTTTCATCATATCAGAACATCAATTAATGCAGAATGTTTTCCTCAAAAACGAAAGACACTTTTATAAAAATATATTTATTCAAAAAGACATTTTTAAAGAGTTTTTACACAAGATAAAACGTAACAAAAGTCTTAAAGCTTAAAAAATTTTCTATTAATCTTAAAGAATCGGTTTTTTTAAAATAAATTTAAAGAATTTGTTTTTATCTTTTTTAGAAATTTATTTTGCGTCGGCGAAACCAACTCTGCTGTTAGCGTAATCGAATTCTGTGTAATAACGTCCAATAAAAACATCTCCCAAAATCCACAATGGTCCGGCTGGTTTGGGAATGTCAATTCCCATGAAGCCACTCAAACAGATGGTTTGTCCCAATTGTGAAACCTAAAAAGTAATTATAATATTTAGTAAGCAAATTACAATATTTAGTAAGATAATTACAATATTTAGTAAAGTAGCTACAATATTAAGGTAATTACAATATTTAGTTAGGTAATTACAATATTTAGTAAGATAATTACAGTATTTAGTAAGATAGTTACAATATTTAGTAAAGTAGTTACACTATTTAGTAAGATAATTAAAATATTAATAAGGTAATTTTTCAATATTTGATAAAGTAATTGCAATATTTAGTAAAGTAATTACCATATATTAAACACAGAACTGGTTTCAGATCTATTAATTTTTTGAAAAAGCTAGAGCTAAAAATTTATTCTGCTTTTCCTATCAGTGCTAAAAATCTAGAAAATCGTGCTTATGTATTACGCCTGGACCATAATTTATTTTTCTTCAGATTTTTGGCACTAATTTTGACTCTAATAGGAAAAATAGGAAATACTATTATTTGTAGTTTTCCGAAAAATAATTAGCAAGATGGATAGTCTTTCTGCATGCAGCGGTTCGATAATTATTCTTTTCTATGCTACTATTTATAGGGTTTGTTATAAATATGTTGAAAAGCGATCAAGAATAAATAAATAAATAAAAATAACAAAATATTGAAAAGAAATTTTTTAAACTAAATGGATGTATAGTATTTTATTTTAACTACCTCATAAAATCGAAGAAATGATCCAAAAAAGATTTTCAAACCGAAAATATATTTATTTCGTTGTAAATATTGTATTTAACTTACAGATTTTTGTTCTGTGCCTTTACTTTTCACGAAAGCAGATTCCAAAAAAATAAATTTTTTTTAAATTTTTTTAGTTTTTTGATAAATTTAAAAAGAAAATTTTATTTAATTTCCATTATTTCATTTTAAATAAATCTTACAAATCTTAACGAGTTTCGAATTCACATTATGAAAAACATGATAGCCCATTTGCGTTAAAATTAATCCATTTTACCTGAGGGTTTTTTTCCCCTTGCCATGATAGGGAAAAGGTGTTTTGCAAACACTTCAACTACTACGGATTCTCCCAAAGCCTCCTAGATCTATCTAGGGCCTAGAAGCTATCTAGGAGGCTTTGGATTCTCCGTAGTTTCAGAAAATATTTTTTCCAGTGGTGTCGCACGGTTATTATATTTATATTTTAATACATTAGAATTTTGTCCACCACTAAGCACACGTAATTTATGCAGATACATCTGAAGTTATATAGACAAATGCTTTAGTATTTATATTTTTTTACAGAAAAAAATCTGTTCTAAAGAATTTCCTTTTAGTTCGCTACCACTGAGGAAAAAAATAATTCGCAAAAACTTCAAATAGTTTATGTTATGACTTATGTGTGAGGTTTTACTTAAAGAGCATTTTCTTCTGTTAGCTGCAATTTTTTTTTATGATTGATACTAATATCTTACTTTTACAAGATATATGATATAACAATGGAAATATTCAGAAAGAATGACCTATTCCATATATGAATCGTTGGAATGTATGAAATTACAAACAATTATTGTACCATAACAAGGGTTTCATATCAATTTATGAAATAAAAAAGAAAAGAAAAAAAAACAGTTAGACATATTCTTTATCGCCTCAATCTATTCTGAATAAAAATAATTCATTACCGTTTTCTGCAAAGAAAATAGTGAGAAAATGAAATGCTTCAATACTTACTTGAATAACATAATCAGATCCTTTCAAATCAAATTTTTTTCCTCCGAGAGTAAAAGATACTGTTGGTAATTTGGGAATCAAGTTACAGTCAACAACGTACTGAAATTGGAAAAGTCAAAAATTAGTAAATGTTTATGGAGAAAAAAAATGTTTATGAAAACAAAACAGTGTTTTTTGTCATAAATTAGTAATTAAGAAATTGAAATCTACCATGCGGTAAACGAAATACGAATAATTTACGAACGAAGGAATAATAACGAACGGCTTATAGTATGTCAAGATATTGCTACCAATTTAATGAGTCATCGCAAGCAATCTTGATGATTTAAATTATAAAAAGATACAACGAGAATTCTTTAGTCTTTTTATAAATCATATATTAAAAGAGTTATTTACATATTGAAGTTTTAAAAAGAAATATGAAAATAAAAAGCTATTTCACAATATTTTTTACTATGAAACAGTCCTTAACCCCTTAACGCACAGATTTTCTGAAAAAAACCGGCAAAGAAAAATTTTTAATGTAAAAAAACACACTTTAGAACATTGTCTTTCCTTTTGGTGGACAATTTTGATATATTGTTCTTTTATTCCATGGAAAAAGGCTATATTCAGAAATGCCAACTGCTCCGGACACGCCAAAATAATTTTAAAAAAACGGTAAATAACTAGAAAGTAAATTTTGTAAATATTTGACTATTTTTGCTTGCTTTTTAAAAGGTATAGCATGACATAAGTACCATACCGGCCAACTTTCACTCTTTCCGAGAATGGATTTTCAGAGTGGTTGTAAAACAATAAACGAAAATCAATTTGACTCAAAAATATATTTATAATTTGATCCTGTTGAATTTCGCTTGAGCAAGGATTATTATGCTTTCATATATTTATTGTAATTATTTATATGTAGTGGTAGACAAACTCATTTATAATTATCATTATAATTCAAAAAGTTAATTGGAATAACCTGAGTATTACTACCACTTTAAATATGAAAATAAAATCTTCCGGAAAATCCGGAAGAGTTGGCAGGTATAAGGTACCATACCCTCCAACTGCTACGGAATTTCAGTAGTTTCAGAAATCTTCTTTTCAGACGGTAGCAAAATTAATGTCTTAATATTTAAAAAAAATTAATTTTAGCGTAACTTGTCCACTATTACTTATAAAAGTGCAGGCCATATGGCTAGATTCTTAAGTTCTGATAAAAGTTTTATGAGAGATCCATTTGCTTTAAAAATTTCTACTTTGGTTCACTACCACTAGAAAGAATTATTTTCAAAATCCTCATAAGTTGGAGGGTATGAGGTACCATAAAATGGTGAATTATATAAGGCTACGGATTATTTAGAAATAGTGGTGGATAAAAATCAATTAAATTGAATTTATTAAACCAAGAATCACAATTGATAAACTACCACTTTAAAATATATATTTGCTGTCGGGAGCAAGTTGGCATCTCTGTATATTTTATTCTTGAATAATTAAGTGTTAGAGCTTACAATCCTATGTAGATGATAAATATCAATAAAACGATTTTTTTTCTTAACTTTCACATTATGATTTTCAATTTTCGATTATATTCGAGTGTGAAATATTATAGCAGCATAAAATACAACGCCGTTCGAATTATTTCGAGTGTGCACAGTTTGGCCTGTTTAGCGCGCTCGAACTAACTCGAGCGCACAAGTTAAGGGGTTAATAACCTGAAGTCTTCCATAAAGTAAAAAATAAACATAAATGATTTCAATAATTCAGTGATAAAACGGAATTTTTATAATAACTTGCTCGATAACACTTAAAAAATTAGGATCTTAAGTATCTTTATTAAAAATACAGCAATTCAACTTACTTCTCCTTGCATTAATGGAGTTGCTCCAATTTCCTTGTTCAATTTGTCAATTTCATCAACAGGTCCAGCAATTAGGGAAGTTCCTGTATCTGCAATAGCTTCACATCCACTTGAGCAATAAGCACTAGTTTTACCATTGACGCTTATCCTATAAAATAAAATTGTATTTATTATTGCCTATTAGTAAAATAGGTAAATATAACTTGATAAAAATCAGGATAAAAAGGCATTTTAATATCTCTTAACTTCTTAGAAATTGATGATAAAATAATAGAATTTTGCAAATTCAGAGACGTGTCGCTGAAAAACCGTTATTTTTGAAGTAATTATATAAAATATTTAGAGAAATAATTCTATTAAAACAATAAAAAGAGTCCGAGATATGCTTAAAATATCCATGCATTCTATGGAACTATTTCTTCAAATTTTATACCATTTCAGATTAATATGCAAAATTTTTAAATGTTTTCTATTAGGCAAATTAAAATTTAAAGCTTTGAAAAATTGATACTTTTAGTATTTAATAGTAATTAAAATTATACGCAGTAACATTTACTAATTTCAAATTTATTTTGAATAAAGATATCCGTATTTTAAATTGTTTTTTTTTTTATCAGCATTTAAAACTTTTCTTAAAGTTTCTAAATTTAAATTAGGAATGCTTTTTTTTCTTAAGATAGCTTATCAAACTGTGAAAAAGAGCTTTAATTCTTAAAATTTAATTTAATTAAAATATCTAAAATGTGAATTTTTTAAATTATACTCAATTTTATATTCTATTTTTAGGTTTTGAGGTACATTGCTCAAAAAAAAAAAAAAAATCCCACTCCATCAAACTGACCTCCCCGAATAACTTTTGATCAAATGATCGGATCTTCACGTTCCTGGACCCAACCTTAATGGTTCTAGGCGGTTATCTCAAATATGCTAATTAATTAGTGCAGATGATATTTTAAGTTACGAAATCAGACGCAAAAACGTACTTCAGGGTTCCCGGAATCCTTGAAAAGTTTTATTAGTGGTAGTAAATTTAGATTAATGCTAGAAGATGTTTCTTATTTTAATATACCACTTTACCGTTAAGCGGTTTAAAAGCTAAACTTTTCATGCATATATACTTTCTTTGAAAAACTATTTTTAGTGGTGGTTACACAGAAATTAAAATATTGATATTTGTTTAAATTTTCGTTACCGCTTTTTAAAATTTCAAGACCAGAGGGAACCTTTAACTTTCTCTTTACAAGAATATCTTTATTTCGACGGATTAACATTGTTGATTCCCAAAATATTGGAAGTAGCAGCATTCTAGGAATTATGGTCCCAATAGTTTGGTCATTTCACTATATCTCGAGAACTTTTTAAGCGAATTGAACATTTTTGGAACACAATTAAAAATTTTGTTTATCCAAAGATAATTCCCTGCAAATTATAACTCTTAGCAATTATTTATTGTTTTTCATTATTTTATTTAATAATAATAATTTAATAATTTCTTCAATTCTCACAAATTTTAAAATATTTAAAGAATTTGTTTTGTCCAGATGATTTATTTCAACCAGATGATATATATGGTTTAAAATTATAGTTTTGCCTCTAGTGCAGGGAACTTAAACTGTTACTTTGAAAAACATGTTGAATTCAAATGAATTCAAATAAATATTTTTCAACTTACGAGTCCATGTGGAATTGCCAGTATCCTTTCTTGTCAACAGGCACATAAGTGAAATCACCCTTGTAATGATTTGGATCACTTCCACCAAAAATAATTTCTCCACCGGCGCTAGCGTTAGGATTTCTAAAAATAAAAGTAACAGTTTAAAAACATTTTAATTCAAAATAAATAACAAAAAGCTTAATATAAAAAAATTTAAACAGCTATATAAAACGTCAAACAGATAAATGGTCTCTTTAAGTTCTGGTGCCGACCGGTCTGTGTAGGGGGCAGGGAACTGCCCTTGCATCAGAAAGGTCCTGGGTTCGAATCCCGGGCAAAGCATGAATGTTTCTTTTTCTCTCTCTCTCTGTGTTCAATGTCCTTTCTCCTTTGTGTGTGAATGTGACCTGCCCTATAAACGGGTTGTGGTTGTGTGAATGGCGTGACAGAAGTCGAATTCCTGGCCATAGATGGAGCCACTGAAAAATAGACACAATCGCACCCCCACTGCCTAAACAGGCATACGACAAAAAAAAATTTCTGGTACACTGTAAAAATTTTGGTGGATGATTGCCAAGATTTTTGCACATTGAAAACACTATTCTTGTAAATGAATGATAAGTGGTTGTAACTTAACCGTCAATGCAAGTGACAATATTATTATTTTTACAACCATTTCAATTTAAGTAATTTTCATCCTTTTGTATCAAATTTCCTTATATAAATAATAAGTTTGCGCACTATTGAGGAGATGAAAAACATTTCAAGATAAACTTTTAAAAAATATTAATTTTTCAACAACTATACTTTAAAAATTTGGATGGACATTGGGAGTTCTTAATTGTGGCTATATTTCTATTGTTTCTCTTAGAAAAAGGAAAATAGTTGCTTATAATATTATGTTGGAGATCTTTTATTTTGACTTTTTAAAACTTAAGTGATTGATAAAATGAGAAACTATCCACTGCTCTCTCACAAATTTTCTACTATTTTTTTTTAATTTTTCAATATTATTTNTCCTTTTGTATCAAATTTCTTTATATAAATAATAAGTTTGCGCACTATTGAGGAGATGAAAAACATTTCAAGATAAACTTTTAAAAAATATTAATTTTTCAACAACTATATTTTAAAAATTTGGATGGACATTAGGGAGCTCTTAATAAAAAATTTCTTGATTGTGGCTAGCTTTCTATCGTTTCCTCTTAGAAAAAGGAAAATAGTTGCTCATAACATTGTGTTGAAGATCTTTTATTTTGACTTTTTAAACTAAAGTGATTGATAAAATGAGAAACTATCCACCTCTCTTTATCACAAGTTTTCTATTGTTATTTTTTAATATTATTTTAATTAACACAGTATATCAATAAAGATTTAATTTTTTTTTTGATAATAAAAAAAGAAAAAAAGTTCTTTCAATAAGCCGTTTAAGTTTTACTAAGAAAGTTAGATATAGTTATAATTTATTTTCTGCAACTAGATTTGCAATATGCTTAATTTAATGTACAAAACAAATATTCAACAAACCTCAGAAAATGAGCGAATTAATTTTGGCTCAGGTATCGTGAGATCATGCTCGTAAGTTTTATATGGAAGTTAGAATAATTATTCGATGCTATAATATAATAATGCGATTATATATAATAATGCGATAGATAATAATGCGATTCGATTCGATGCGATCAATAATTATTATAAGCAAGCACGGTCCCCACGATAAAAGTGTTAAATTACCTTAAGCAGATGTGAACAATCGGTTAAAAGACGGAGAATTTTTACGATTGTTTAAAGTGACAGTAAAACTTATGCTCAGAAATTTGAGTTAAGATTATTTTTTTATCACTACATTTAAAGATCTAATAAGAATATTGCAATAGTGTTTCAAATTTAAAAAAAATTGAAAATAGTTGCTTACATAATTTTTTTTTTACTACCAGTATAAATACAATAGAGAGCCAGTGCTTTCAGGTTGCCAACTTTGCTAAATACGCATTTGTGCCCAACGTAAGTTTAAAAGAACAGTTCCTTTTTTCTCAAAAAAGTAAAAAGTGTTGGCACAAAATTGAACATTTCAGTTCTGTTTACTATAAGATATTAATAATAAATATGATTATTAGTCAAAACATGATGCATTTTCAAGGCTAAATTTGAAAGTAATAATAGGATAGATCCTATTGGTTTAAAAATATGGCTATACTCTAACCTTTTTGGTAATAGCGCTTCTTAAATCTTTGCTGAATTCGTGGTCGATCCTTACAAAGCTAAACTAAGTAACCATTTTGCTTTTTAATACCACGCTATCTTTATTAAAAGCCGCAAATTGCGTGTATAAATCTGAATATTTAAGTAGTTATGAAATTACGCTGATCTGATAATAGCAGGAAATGGACACATAAAATACCTGACACGCATGCTTTAATGTTTTAAAGTACTGATAAAATTTTAAACATTTTCTCATAACTTCTTTAAATATTGCAGGGAATTGAAAATTTTGAACATAACCCAGAAGAAAGGGAGCTCCTAGATAAAACATTGAGACAAACTAGCTTTCATGAAGCTAGATGGAGCTTTTTCTTTTTGATGGAATTACCCACATTTGCGTGGTTGCACAACAACATGGAGCGGAACATCATTAAAACATCCCACGGTTAGCCCGATGACAAAAGGATTCTAACTCATAACCCATAATACTACTGAGGATATTTGAAGTCAGCACTGTGATTGGTGCGAGCCAGGAGCAGAATTTATACAGACTAGCCATCGCTGAGAATCGAACCTGGGACACGTCATTAGGAGGAGAACGCTACATCTACTGCGCCACCGCGACAAGTTTTCGAAATTTCTACTGGATATTTGCATTATACATATCTTACTGCTTGGATTAAGATTTTGGTGTTTATCTCCAAAAACTCTCTTGAAAAGCGCTCTCTTTTATTATATCAGAGAGGCCACAGTCTAGAAAAAATTAAAAAGCTATGGCAATTTTTTTATTTTTTTGGTACACATACATACATACAGGGTTATTGTGGGATTCGAACCCGCTACCTTCACGCTACAGAGCGTTTGGCGGGTGATACCGCTCGGTCAGAGAGTCCCAGTAATTTTCTAAGAGGTTATGTTTTCACGTTAATTTTAAGAATTCACTTGATCATTTGTAAAAATAAATATTTTTGGTCTATAGAAATCAGCTTAAACATTTACAAATACAATATTTGCAGAAATAATAAATATTTACAAAAACATTTACATATACAATAAAATTTACAAATATTTTTGGTCAATGATAATTAGTTATAACATTTAGTTTCCTCGATTTTTGTCTCTAATTTTCTTAAAAAAATTTCTGGAATGTGGTTACCCGGAACATTGCCTGAAGTCCTTGATTTGTTTTAAAGCGAAATATTGAACATTACTTCAACATAAAACAACTGTTGGAATTTCTTTTGGCTACTTTTCTTACCTGCTAAGGTAGAAAGAGAAAACTGGTTTATCTACTACTTTTTCCTTCAACATGTTGTCAAAAACAGGAGTGACACCATCAACAGAAATAGTGCTGAATCCCATTCCAAGGATTCCATCAAATTTAGCAGCAACAAAAGTCAGTCCTGGTTCTGTGACGGCTTCAGCGAAAGTTTGGCTGGCAACCTAAAATTAAATTAATAATAAATAATTCAATTAGTTCTTTAATGCTTGATGAAACATAGTAGAAAGTGGTGCAAAATTTATGTTTAATTCAAGTGGATATTTTCTTCAGTTAGGCAAGATATCTTTAGTTTTCAAAGAATAACGCGTTGATTTTATATTTATAAAATATCGATGCTTAAATTATTGTCATGATTGAGTTAAAATCTGAACAGCCAACTCCATTTAATAAAAAGAAAATGGAGTATCATAAAAGTACTCATTTTAATACTTTCATGTTCATGCGAACAGATTCCGTCCTATTTTAAAATTAGTTCTCCATTTTACATCTGCTGGCAAGCACAAGGCTCTACAAATCAGAAAAAAGAATATTTACTAGACTTGAAGGCTAGACTTTTTACTAGACTTTTTAATTATGATTTCCCCCCCCCCTTTTTTAATATGTCTTTTCCTTTGTTTTACCTTCATTTTGAACTATATATATATNTACATATATATATATATATATTGTTGAATTTTGCTAATCATTTCCAAACAAACGAACTTAGATAAGAGCTTCTTTATTTCCTGTTTTTTCTTATCTTACTGTTTATTGTTCCTATTATTAAGTGAATAATATTGATATCTTGTTAAAGATTATCTTTTTTTTTTTTCTTTTTTTTTGCTTTTTTACAGCTTGTAACATAATATTTTTATGTCACCTTATGAAGGATTGAAAAGAAAATGTGTGTTATCATTACAAAGATAAAAAGTTGTATTCAACTTTTGTCGAACGACATTGAAAAGAATATCGTAATATGTTTATCAGTAAAAACCTATTTAGTTTTTTTTTCTGATTTATTTGTTTCGCAGATATTGGTTGGGTAAATAAGGTCAGCTTCTGTGCTTTGTCTGTTTTTATACCTAAAAAAGAATGAATTAGCAAGTATTGTCTCAATTTTTCCAATGAAAGAATGATATCCATCGAAATTTTATCTCAAACAAGTTGACTGCACATATTTTAAAAAGAAGATTTTAGTTAACGAAAAAAGTAAATTAAGTTCATGCCTTGCATCGGTAGAACCAAACGAATTTAAAGCAGAGAGAAGCGCTTATTGTTTTTTAGTGGCGCCATCTATGACCAAAATTACGACTTTGCCGCACACAAACGTTGCAGCCCTCTTTCCATTCCAGACTCATTCGCAGCCATTCCAGACTCATTCACATACCTTTCATCCATCCGCAGATCGTAATTTTGACCTTAACCGGTTAACGCCCAGCGTCATGTATTTAGGACAGTTCCTTTTTTCAAAGACATTCATTGTGATGGGAAACTTTTCTCAGCATTTTCATTTATCTAGGTGAATTAAAAGATTCTCAGATACCAGAATGATTTAGTTATATCTGATTAGATCTAGAATTATAAGCAGCAAGTACTTTTTGATCTATCAAAGACTTTTTGAATGGCCTAACAGTAGAAAAACCAATTAATTTCGATAGTATATTATACCACTTTTTCCATAAAACCACTTTTTGTATCATATCAATATATAAATTCGGGACAAAACGGGTTAACCAGAGAACAATCAAACTTCAATCCGATCTTTGATTACAGGTCAATAGTGTTGTGAAGGCAATTGCTGATAACTATTGTCAATAACTACGGCCGATAGTGACTCCGGTACTGGTGAATCGATACCAGTTCCTGAGATGGAGCTGTTAGCAATTCACAATCTTTTAGGAATCATAATCATTCTCCTGAAAATTTTGTTTTCGCTACTTAACTAATTTTTTTTTGTGTGTGTGTCAACTCTTCATTTGTTGAATAAATTTTTAAAAATAAAATTACCTGTACTCCTCCAATTGCAACTGTATCGGTACTCAAAAATCCAGTCATGCTACCACTTCCATATTTGATTTCAAAAGCAGTTCCATTTGCTTTGTATGTACTGGATTTGCTGCTGTCATATTTGTTGTGTAGAACTAAACAAAAATAATAATTGAAAGTTAAGTATATCTGACCGCTAATTTACAGAATTGTACAGTGCACAAAAAAGTAATCAAACCACCCTCAATAACTTTTAATCTAATGAATGGATCTTCACGTTCTGGGAATCATTCTTAATCGTTTCAGAGGGTGACCTCAAATATGTTAATTAGTTAGAGAGGATGATATTTTAAGTTACAAAATCAGACATAAAAACGTACTTTCTCTGAATAAACATATCTTTCTTTTAACGGATTTAGATTTCCAACTCCCAAACTCTAGGGGGTAGCTGCAATCTGGGAAATATAATCCCAATAGTTTGGTTTGATCAAGAGAGCTGTTCGAAGTTTGTAAGGCTAATTTTACTTTTTTGCGCATTTCAACATATCTCAAAAACTTTTAAATGAATTGAAAAAAGTTTGCACACAATAATTAAATTTCTTTATCCGAAGATAATTCCATGCAAAAAATAATTTTCAGTAAATATTTATTATTTTTTATTTAATAATAGTCGATAAATATTTTAATAGTAAGGTTTACAATTTTTTGCGTCATTTTAAAGAGTGTAATTTTGCATGGCAAAATACAAACTTAAGCAATATCGGTCAAATAGTTCCTGAGAAATAAAAGTTGAAAGTAGTCGTATATTTAAAATTACATTTACTGAGATTTGGTCTTTATACTTGTTGCACCAATGAAAAAAATACTGCCGCAGCCAAAAATAAAAGGATGGCAAAAAAAAATATTTTGTTTTTACCTTCCAAATGCATTCGGGCACACTTTCATTTATTTATCTCTATTTATTTTTTATTTATTTTTTTTAATTTTTTACATTTTGCCTTGCTTAATGCTACAATAATTTTGAACTACCAGGCTTCATTGAAATCCGTAATACGTTTAGAAATCAAAACAAAAAGCAAATTCGTTTACTTCTTTGTTATCTCTAACTTTGATAATTAGTTCTTAAATAGTAATTAGATTGCCATTGTACCGGTTTCATAATTTCGTAATTTTTGACTGCAGACGCTAACTTTTATACACATGAATGTTATTGTATCAAAATAATTGAAAGCATATCAGTGGTAATTAAATCTATAATTAGAAAATAATCCAATTTATCCCTTTATGGACATTGTATGTCATAATATGCTTTAATATATTTTTTGCAATCAGTATTTGATTTATCCAATCACGCTCATTATAGTTTAATACATTTTACTGACTTGTGTAAAAACGAAACTGTATTAAGAAATAAAATAACTATCATCTCATCTATACTTAATCCTTGCCTTAATTATGTTCTGTTTCCTCCATTAGGCCAATCGCACTTATTTTTAGTTTTTCTATATTTATTTAAAGTTTCACAATAGCAAAGTGCTTGTTTAGTTATGAAAAGAATGGGGAGTAATTATTACAGTTATATGTAGAAAACAATAAACTTGCCAAACTTAAAGATTTTAAGGTCCATTGATAGCTACCTTTCTATAAAATATAAATAAATTAGATACTTACGGCAAGCAATGTTGGTCCACTTGCATTTCTTTGAAGGTACCCATAAGTTAGAAGATCCAGTGTCAAAAACTACTTTGAAGGTTTGTGGCGGAGTTCCAATGGAAATTTGTCCATAATATTGGGCCTGTTAAAAGAAGTTTATTCATACATTTTGAATAGAATTTATGATTATTTACGAGGTATAAGACAGTCACGACATTGGTAATAGCAGGAGTGACAACGACTCCTGCTATTGTTGTGCTAATTCTTTTACTCTAATTTAAATCATGATATCATTATAAAATTAAGATTTTTTTGTTTTTAAAAGTAAACGGCTACAAGCATGTATCTTTTTTAATCAATATAACTACCTTTTATTCCATACAGATTACGAATTAAGACTCTGACAATTTAATGAAATCCAAGCAATGAAATACAGGCCAAACAATAATAAAAACCAAACAATGCAACGAAAAATCCTATATTTTAGCGTTATGAGAAACTTATATCACATGGACTAATGTAATGTTAATTTAATGAGCATAATACACCTGGCACAATTAAATATAGCACACTATGTAGTTCGGAAAAATGATTAAAAATGATCATAATTGATAGAAGAGTATAATGATAGAACATATAGAAGTGGCTATACTGCGTCAAGATAAAACGACGTGACGCATATTTAGCAATGAGTTCAAACAATGTCATAAACTAAGTTTGGGGTGAAAAAACAAAATAGGGAAAGAACTCTAGGGTGACTCATACCCATAAAACTCGTGCTTGTTGAACAATGTAATTTCTCTGAAAAGATGCTGTAAAGGATTAGCCAGACAACAGAAAATGCTGTAAGGGATAAGTCGGAAAAAAGAAGATACTATACAGGATTAAACGGAAAATTTCCAAAACTGAAATCATTTTCAAATGTAAGAAGAGAAACATAATTGCCAAAAAAAAAAAAATTTCATTAATTTTTAAAAGATTTTTAGATCCATGTATATTTATTAAAATCCATTATATATTTTTTTTCTTTAAAATAACGTTTTAATTTAACTTACCTTTACACGTCATAAGCATTCACAAATATTTTCAAGTGCTGGGATATAAATAATGTCACGTTTATATTCAGGATATTTATAAACTTATTGATGTCGTGACTTAAAAAGTCGTGCTGACTTTAAAGGTTTGTAAAAAAAGTTTTTAACCTTGGTTAAGCAGCATTTGTATTTGTGTTTAGTTTATTAATAGCTGATATCCGAAACAGAAGTTTTAATGATTTTAATTTAGAGTTCCCTTTATTCAAGTAAAAAAAAAAACAGGTATACGATTCAGATTTCCGATTACTCCTCTTTGCAAAGCGTAATTAAAATTTAAAAAAGGAAAATATTAAAGCTATATATTTATATTCGCGTAAGATAAAACAATTTTTCAAAATTCAAAAACTTTTAACAAAAATTAAATGCATATTGCTGAACAAGCATTAATAATTGATTTAAATAGTGGTATTTAAAAGGCTTTTTAAATTTATAAGGATTTTAAGTTCATAAAATAGGATAGTTAAAAATTTAATCATGATTAAAAAAAATTTTAATTTCATAATTGTAAAATGAAATTACTATAATTTTCTTGCTTCTTTATTACTTATTTATTTACATATTTTAATCCTTTATTTAAATAATTTAATTGCCTTTCATGCAATATCAGTATACCCACCAACTACTATGGAATTTTTGTAGTTTTAGAAAGAAAAAAAAATTTGATTCGTAGTGATGGCTTTGACCGATATTAATTTTTTTTTTTTTGTTTTATAACCGTCGTTGAACAGCCGACCTAATTTTTGGGTTTACTACTACTAATGTTTAACTCCATAGCCTTGTAATTCTGAACCCAATCCGGAAGACAAGGAAATTCCTGAATCAAGCAATGGGAGAAATTTGCCTTCGCGGCGGACCTTTTGATGGAGTTAACCAGCATTTGCGTTACATGGAGAGGAAAACCACGAGAACCTCCCACGGTTAGTCTTATGGCAAGGGGACTCTAACCCACGATCCGTCTACCACTGAGGGTATTTCACGTCAGCACTGTGGTCGGGGCAAGCCGGATGCGGAATTCGCATCTATCAGCCATTGCCGGGATCGAACCCGGTTCACCTCATTGGAAGGCGAACGCTCTATCCCCCGAGCCATCGCGATATTAATTCATGACATTTATTGATCAAGTTGCTCAGATTTCTTAATGTTGTCTAGCACAGTATTGTCTATTTCAGTTGTTGCGCCATTTGTATTTACATTGAATTTAATTCCATTTAATTATAAAAAATAAAAATAAAAACTAAGAACGGAATCAAAAAAGTATACTGTTGGACTTCTATTTAACGAACTTTCATTTTGCGAATTTCTCTATTTTACGAGTTTTTTCGAGGAACCAAGAATATTTTGGAAATTTCTTCGTAAAATAACTTCCAAATAGCGAAGTGAATTTTCTATTTAACGAACTTTTCATTGAGATCCACTTTCCCTATTTTCCAAACTATTTCTTAACATTTCAAACTAGTGAACGCATTTTATGAGGGAAATGACCTTGAATTAATTTTCGAAGCCACTGCTTGATGTGATGTATTACTGTTTGCTCTAAAAATTATCTTAGAGAAAGCAGTAAATTCCCTTTCCCTTTTTGTTTGCATTTCAAACGAAAAACTCAGTTCAAATTAACGGATTTTATATGTAGCAATTAAACTTAAGAACGCATGTGACAATGTATGTTTAAAATTACTTTTATAATAAATGCAACTACAATTTTATACATAAATTTAGCTTTTTTTTAGTTGAAAATGTATATAGCATGATAGTGTAACACTGGATAATGTTTTTGCTCTATTCTTGCTTTCCATGCAGATTTCTTTTATAGTTTACAAGATAAAAGTGCATCAATTGCTAATTTAATTGTGTCTAGAGTTTATGAATTTAAAACCTGTTTTGTGTTGCTTAAGTATTTCAAAAAGGTGATTTTCCATTTTGCGAATTTTCCATATTACGAACTTATTATCCGGATTTAGTGACTTCGTTAAATAGAGATCCGACTGTATTTTGGTTGAGATGTTTCATAAGCTTCAGAGTGATATATCCCATAAAAAACTTCGTTAAAATGAACCATATTTCATTTATACATTTTGCCCATTTCCTGAATATTGAATAGATAATAATTAAAAATTATAGTACTTACATCCAAATAATTTGAAAGAGGTTCTGGGAATGGACTTTTTCCCAAGATCCTTCTCGGTAAAGCGATTTCTACAGGTGTTCCAACTTCATGTAATTTGTGGCGGACTGGTCTTGAATGAGCAAGCTTAACCCTAAAAATTATAATTCAAACTTCAATATAGAACTATTATTTAAATTGATTAATTTACAAAAAATCAGCTATCATCATTATATTAAATATATTATTGAAATCATTTAATTTTTTTCCATAACGTGAAAGGCTTAAGGCCTTTATAAAGGTCTTTAATAAAGGCCGAGAAAGGCTTAAGGCTTATAATATAAAAATAAGCCACATTTTATGAAAAGCGTCTTTGGGTAAAATATAATGATTTCTATGTAGACATTAAGATATTTCTGTGTATTGGGCTGTTATCAAATAAAAATTCAGGAAATTTGCAAAAAAATAGTTTTTTTTTAAAAAAAAAACTTCATTAGTAATGAAATTAAAATTTCATCGTAATTGCAGTTCCTTAAAATAGGTTTATTAAAATTATATATTTTTTGCAAAGATTTGACCCTAACGTTGAAATTATCTTTCACCTTAACCATAGCTGTTCACTTTTAAGTCGAAAATAAAAAGCGAAAAATAAAAGTATACTTCACTTCAATATAACTTACTAATTCGTTTGTTTCAAAAACCTCTTAAAAGGTCAAACTCTTTTTTCAAAGAAGTAAAATTTGAATAGGAAAAAGAAGCAGTTTTAAAAACGAAGAGATAATTAACAGAATCGCTAAAAGTGCTATTTTCTTCAGATTTTCGTGAATGGTAGACACCCTTATCTAAAACAACGACTCCTATAACTGAAAGCCTTCACACGGTTTCTTATAGGTAGTCCGATAAGACTACAACGAAGGTAAACCAGGTTACGAAAGAGCCATTTAATTGAAAATCTATTAAAAATTTTAATGTGGTATCAAATATATGCCTAAAAATTTGTGTAATTTATGAATATGATTGGTTTGTTTTATTTATCTGCCAATCTCTACAGATTCAATTCTCAAATATGTATGATAAATTTCTCTCAATTACTTTTAAAATAGAAATTGAGTTCATGCGCACAACTGGTTCGCTTTTTAAATAACCTGCGCAGACTAATTATGAAATCCTATGTGAAGACTCCTATGTGAAGGCTTTCTGATGTAGGAGCTGTTGTCTTAAGTCATGAAACAGTGACTACTCAACGCTAAAGTGGTAGGTAATAAAAAAATAATATCCCCTTATTTTAACCTTTAGAGGTCAAAAAATTTCATAAAGCATTATAATTTATATAATAACCAGAAATCATAAAATAATGTGATTACTAAATATTATGATATAAAAATTTTAAATTTAAAAATGTTGATTTTTGATGCCTTATTAGAATGAAAGATCAGACTGCAAAGGTTTAAACATATGTGTAATACTACTACTTTCATACGCACTATTTTTTTACATATTCTCATTACTAGTAGTCGGGAATGAGGAGTCAATAAATTTAGTCAAAATAATGCACAACAAGTCACGCCAAAGTCTCTAAAAATATTTACGTGCACAAATATATTCTTATAACTTTTCAGTAAGACTCAAAACTCCAGTATTTTAATTTAAAAATATTTGTACCATTGGATTTAAACAACATTAAAATAACTCAAACGATCCACTTTTTGCATGCTTAAGTCAGGGTTCCCACGGGCCTTGAAAATTTTAAAAATTGGTAATGAAAATAAAACATAAGTCGATATTTTAATTTCTGGGTAACCACAACTAAAACTTTATTTTAAAAGAAAGTATGCCTGAAAATTCCAGCTTGCTAAACCATTTAAAAATAAAGTGGTTTATTAAAATACGGAATATATTCTAGCATTAACTTAAATTTACTAACACCACTAAATTTTTAAAGAAAAATAGACAATTCTTTTATGTGAAGCTTGTCAATTAAGAAAAAAATAAAGAAACTAATGCCATTTGCAAAAAGCAAAAATGTAACTAATGCAATTTCCAAATTCAAATTTTATGTAAACAATGTAATTCCCATCATGATAAAATATTGCTTAAATAAATTACAGACAGTCGAAAAAAATTATAAGACTGAAAAGCTATGCAAAATAAAATTTGATAGGCATGATTTATTTAAAATTTAAATTTTTAAAAAAAATCAATAATTCTACATTTCCAGTTCAAATACACTTGCTTATCTTAAAAATCTTATCACTTAAATACTAACTAGCGATAAAGCAGCATAACTTAAACAAATATTTAAGATGACAAAAAAAGGACAAAAAAATTTCATGCGAATATTTTTCAAGAAAAACTAATAATTTTTTTATCTGAAACTTTTCAATTAAGGAAAAACTAAAGAAGAAACTAATGTCATTTCCTAATGCAAAACCCATGTAACAAATGCAACTACTACCATCACAAATTATATTTTAAATAAATTGTAGATATTTCAAAAAAAATTAAAAGGTTGAAAAGCTACACCAAATAGATTTAATAGGGGTGATTCATTTCAAATTTAAATCAATAAAAAAAAAATAATCCATCATTTCTAATTCAAGTTCACATGCTTACCTTAAAAACCTTATAACTTTAGGACTAACTAACAATAGTAAACAGCATAGCTCAAACAAATATTCAAAATGACAAAAAAAGGACGGATAATTTTTATACGGAAACTTTTTTAAGAATAACTGATAATCAGATAGTCAACTAAAAGGGAAACTAATGTAATTTCCAAATAATAACTATGTAATTCTGATCACGTCAAGATATTGTTTCAATAAATTGCAGATAGTTTTTAAAAAAATTAGAATACTGAAAGGCTATACCAAATAAAAATTGATAGACATGTTTCATTTAAAATTTAAATCAAAAAAAGAAAATTAATAATTCATCATTTCTAATTCAAATTCACATGCTTACCTTAAAAGCTTGTCACCTAAAGACAAACTAAGGACCGAAAGCAACGTAATTCCAACAAAAAGTTTCATCGTGACAGACCTCTACAAGTTGGAAGACAGAAAAACGCCTTGATGACCACTTTTATTGTAAAAAATTTATAATCAGCACTGAATGAAAAATAAGCTCACGTGATAAAAATCACGATTTATCAAAGTTAGCTGACTCCTTATTATGTGTGACTATAGAGATTTTCAGTATTCTGATAGGCTGACATTACATCATAATTTTAACAAAATAGTTTTATCTGTTCCTCATTCAATTTATGGTATCATCTTCTCAACCCTATCCCAGCACACAATTAAAGGTAAGGTATTTTTTCGCAATCATTTAATCTGGTGATAGATAATGAATCTTTTGATATGTTACTAACCAGTAACCAAAGTTCTAATTTAGAGTTCTTTGTTTCACAAACAGTTTTTTTTTTTTCCTTTGTCTTGTGAGTTTTGATCATGATGCCTGTAAATCAAAAATTCCCGGGGGGAAACTAATCTGGATGCTTAATCATGGAAAAGTTGCTTAACACTTTTCCAAAACATTAAAAAAAAATCAAAGCATGTTTAACTGTTCAAATAAGATATTAAAGTCAGAGTGGGTAAAATTTTCAAAACTGCAGCATTTAAAATTTTAAAAAAGAAACATACGGGTGTACTATGTCTTAAAATACAATATTAACCTGAAGAATAAGAGATAAATATAGCCACTTCTACAAACTCTTCCGGATTTTCCGGAAGATTTTATTTTTATATTTAATGTGGTAGCAAAGTTTTTGCATTCATGCTTAATTCTTGATTTAACAAATTTGATTTATCATACTTTTAACTACCACTACATTTAAATAGTTTAAACATATATAATAAAAACCAACTGCAGAGATGCCAACTTGCTCCGGACAGCAAATATATATTTTAAAGTGGTAGTTTATCAATTGTGATTCTTGGTTTAATAAATTCAATTTAATAGATTTTTATCCACCACTATTTCTAAATAATTCGTAGGTTTATATAATTCACCACTTTACAGTAGTTTTCTCATGCTATACCATTTAAAAAGCAAACAAAAATAGCCAAATATTTGCAAAATTTAGTTTGTAGCTATTTACCGTTTTTTTAATTATTTTTACGCGTCCTGAGCAGTTGGCATCTCTGCAACTGGCTCATTATTTTATGGTTCAAGTGTTCACGAAAATGCAGAGATGCCAACTTGCTCCTCTGTGAAGCAAATGTATATATTCCAGTGGTAATGAAATTTGAATTATTTATTATTTTTAGCTTAGTATTTCTCATTTTAAGTAAATTTACCACCACTACTGATCGAAAATTCAAAATATCATATGAAATATATCTTTATCGCTGTTATCTTGTAGTGACATGCTTAAAGAGTAGGCGTAATTATCCCTTATTCTACAAGTTTTATTATTTAATTCACTACCAATTTATTAAAATTTTGTTAGAAAGTGGAGCAGTTGGCATCCCAGAAAGTGTTAAACATTTGCCCACAATTTCTATTTGATGGTCAGTTCACTATTACTTGAAAAAAAATCTTTGGAACAGCGCAAACGTTGGCATGTATAATAAATATATCTGCCAATTTTTAAACTTTCCGACGATGGTTTCACCCAGTGGTAGTAAATTTACAAATGAATTTCACTTATTGTATTACAGAAATGCACTCTACATTTTGTAGAGGTTAGAACACACACCAGTGAGATTATCATACATTGATATAGATGTATAATTTATTTCAATTCAGTAGAAATCAAAAATCAATTTAAATTAAATTTACAAATGCAAGGAAGAAGTAGATAGCATATATTTTGCTAACAATTTACATTTAGAAATAAAATTTCACCCAAAATGTGTAAAAAAAAAAAGTTGGCAGTTTTGAGCATATAAATAAAAAAGTATGCAGGAAAAAAATATAAATTCATTGAAGAAAGTACTTAGATGATTTTACTGTCTAATATAACCATAGATTATGACACAATAAAACAAAACCAAAATGAAATTAATTGTAAAATACATTACTTTATATGTCATAATAAGATTTCAACACAAAGTAAGTTGGAAAAAAGTGTAAAGTTAGTACAATTATTGCATCAGTAATCAATGTGAGATCCTTGTTTTCGATTACATTTATCAAACTAGCATTCATGGATACAGATAGAGTTAAAATGCTGGGTAGGGTATCAATTGATGCAATCAAGATATTGTTCCAAAATATCTTGATTGCATCAATCAAATCTAACTTGTTCTTGAATCGTCAGTCAGGTCGGTCAACATCTCTAACTAATCTGCTCCAAAGGATTTCCACCGGATTCAGATGTGGGCTACAAGATGGCCACTTAAGGGATTTAATTTCATTTGCGCTCATCCAGGATTTTGTTGAATAAGAAGTATGGATGGACGAATTGTCCAGTTGGAAGATATAGTCTCCGACCGGGTGCTATAAGAGGAGCAACAGACAATAAATTTTCTCCCTATATATCCTGATGCAGAAGTGAGTTCATTTTAGTTTAGATAAATGCAAGTTACATTGCCTGTTGCAAAAGCTGCCCAAACAATAACGGACCCACCACAGAATTGACTTTTGGAAAATAAATGTGTTTTATATATAAATTGCATCAATAAATAAATAAATAAAATCCATCTCTCTTTTTTAAGGAAACAATCTTGATGATGGACGGGAAAACAACAGCTTCCGTCTTGGTGAAGCTTTTAAAATGTTAGCAAAATTACCAAAAATTCTGAAAGCTATAGTTTTTAATTGTTTACCACTTTCTAACCTATTTTGCAAAAAGCGTAGTTGTTGGCAGCCCTGTAAATACTAAATTTTGCTGCTGGGCATTAAAGGGTTAATTGTTTCTTCGCTACCATTTACATTTTGTGAGCAGGAGGCAGCGAGTTCGAACCGGCACCCTTTAATCTGCAGGCTTTTGTTCTACCCTAGAGCTGTACCTCTGCACATTCTAACTGTTTATATAAATAAATAAATATATATATATATGTATATATAACGGACAACAAATACGGAATATCATGAACAATCATAGAAACCTGAAGTTTGACCACTTGATAACCCAATGCGGAGCATTGCTTTATTGGTCAGTTCAACTGAGAGATGTATGAGTAATTTTTTAATCTCCATATGTATATATATATGTGTGTGTGTATGTGTAATTTTGTTTTTTTAATATNGCATTATATATATATATATATATACATGTATTGATAGATTTTCCTTTGGCTATATTAATGTAATATTGGAAGGCATTATTTTGTGGATATAAATGTGTGAGTTGACGAAAAGATGAAAAGATTATATCTTTTTAGTTGTTTTCCGGCCTTTTTTTAAAAAAATTTAATTCTTTTTTCCCTGCTTACTTTGTATCTGCATATATATATATATATATATATATAAGATAAATACAAAGAAATAATAAAAATATTTTCTATAAGAGAAGGAAAAAGTTATTAAGAAAAAAAAACTAAATTTTTAAAATTTGAAAGAAAATCCGGAATACAAAGCAACCAAAAAGATATAATTTTTTCATCTTTTCGTCAACAACTCACGCAATTATATCCACAAGATAGAGCTTTCCAATACTGTATTAATATATTTATACAATAATACTGTATTAATAATATATACAGTTAGAAGGTGCAGAGGTACAGCTCTGTTGTAGAACAAAAGTCTACAGATTAATGGGTCCCGGGTTGAACTCGTAGCATCTAGCATCTTATAATTTTACCATCGATACCAACCCGAAAGTTTAAGATTCTCACAAAATGTAAAGTGGTAGCGAAGAAGCAATTAACCCTTTAATGCCCAGCCACAAAATGTAGTATTTTTTTCTTTCTTTGTTTATAAAAAATTGGAAACCTGGGCAGCACAGAAGGCCCATATCCCATACATCATGAAATAGTATAAAAAGTAAAAATAAAAGACAGTTTGAGTTCAGCAGTCTATGGGGTGGCTGTTACAGGGAGACAAGCACCTTGCTTGTATAAGTGAAAGAAAATGAAAATAATGAGAGCAACTTGCTGTAATCTGTGGATAGCTGTAGTTTGATTGTCAACGTGAAGTAACATAGGTCAGGATTTTAGTATTGGTAAAGTGAAAATGTAGTATATTTGCATGACCACCAACTACTACGCTTTTTGCAAAACATTTTATAAAGTGGTAGACAATTAAAAACTAAAGCTTTCAGAATTTTTGGTAATTTTTCCAACATTTTAAAAGCCTCATCGAGACGGAGGCAGCTCTTTTTCCATCCATCATTAAGATTGTTTCTTTAAAAAAGAGACATAGATTTTATTTATTGATACAATATACATTTTCAGGCTTGTTTTCAATTAAAGCTTATTAACCTTTTACAAATAGAACAGATAACACAATACAGCACGAAAATACATAAAGGGTAGCAGCGGTATTCGAACCCGTTACCTCCACGCTTCACATATGGTATGGCGGTCGATAACACTGGGCCAGAGAGGCTAAGGAGAGATGAAACAAAGTGGCGTTTTATATGAACTTTTTAATCATTTGACTCATTGGACGAAAAATAACCTTAAATCAAATTTACTAAGCAAAGAATAATACTTTATAACATAAACTTCAGCCCCGGTCTTTATGTAAAAATACCTACATGAAAAAATTGGCAGTATATATGGGTTTATACTAAGTAGATATTTCTTTAGTTACTTCCAATTTAATTTTTTAAAAAGGACTTGTGCTTAGTCTTCAAACCTAATATTATAATTATAATAACTTATAAATACAGAACTATGGTTTTTCTGCGAAATAAATCCAAATGATGAAACTTTTCAGTTAGCACTTTATTGCTTTTTCAGAAAATTAACCTTTCTTTTAAAGGAAAGCTAGACCATCAAGGGAGAAAGTTTATTTATACCAAGACGGAAAAGAGCAAACGATAAAAAGAAAATCATTTATAAATCATCTTATATTGTGATACTAGGAAGATTTCGATTAACTTGTAGTGAAGAAAAAACTTAGTGGTGGACTTAGTTGTAGATAAAGCTTAGAGGACTGTAAATTGAGAGGTCTACTGAAGCCGAGAGATTGACAAAGTCATTTAATTATTATTTTAAACCTTTGCACTCCGATGTCACATCTCAGGCGCCGCCAACAGTTATCACTCCAAAATGAAAATTTTTATATCTTAAGACATAATAGGTCCCTATAAAAAGAAAATTAAAATTAAATAAAAATATACATATAAATAAATTTCAAAAATATGTGCTCTACTTTGATTTAATTTTCCTTAGTTTTTTTCTTAGTTTTAATAAAGTTTATTAATTTTTTCAATTCAGATTTCAAGATTTTGGTTATTCGATCAATAAATTATCACTGTGAAATTCTCCAAAAATTTTTTTATAAAAGTACTGATTTCAAAATTCGTTTATTTTCCTGAAATAAAATTATTAAAGTTAAATTCAGTCATTATTCAGTTAATATAGCATTTTTAAGTATTTTTCTTTCCTAATGATAAATTAAAAATTTTGAAAATTAAAAAAAAAACCTATACACATTTAAAATAGTAGACATTTAACGAGAAACATTTCTACAAATCGAATGAAACTTATAAAATTATAGCAAATGAAACGTAACGGAATATGTAACGATGAAGGCACAAAGCATGATTTTAATGACCATTTTCAACGTTCATGAAAGGCGAAATTGACAGGTTCTCTTTTTAATACAAATTTCGACACTTCTAAATGTTTTTGTTTGATTTTCATTTCAACGAATACCAAAAACAACGAATTACAATATTGAAATGACGTGTCACCCTACTGTGGTATAAAATTATAAATCAATTTTTAAATTTAGAAGCTATATGTAATTTAAAATTGCATTAAAAACAGTAACTGAATTAAGTATTACTGAAATTAAAATTATATTTTAATCATTCCAGTTGCGAGAAGTACTATTTACAGGAGGAGAAAATAATGGAGATGAGAAATATTGTCAATATGGAAGAGGCATCTTCTCTGAATGGAATATTCATAATCTCAAAATAAAGTAAAAGTTGTTTTTTAAGAATATTGTACTTAAGCAGCCGGTACGCCTTCATTTAATCTCTAGTGAGTGGCAACGTATCTGATATTGATTGTTTTAAAATGTCGCTTGACTGTAGTTTCGTTTTCTGAGATCCGAAAATTTGAAAGATATTTACGTTTGCAATTCTTATTTAAAATATGTATACTAGACGGCAAAACAAGTCAGTAGGGAGCAAATCAGCAGTAGATGCAAATAAAGATGTGGAAACTCTCCGATCTGAGATTGAGAATGAACAGAGAATGACGTATGTATGGTGCATTAAACATATATTATACTTAGCGCTGTTAATTTCTAAAATATAAAATGTCTTCATCATTCTCTTTTGTGTTGTAATAAAACCAATATCTTTCAAAATTTTCATACTTATTATTCCTTTAGCTTTCCATCATTATACGCCCAGCATAATAGACAGTCGAGATCTATTTTAAACTTAGCTGACCGATTAATTTTCCTAATCGATTTTATTTAATTAAACTTTCTTCGTGTTACGCTGCTCACAAATAAGTATTAAGCAAATTTATTTGCATTTATTTCTTCTTTTAAGTTAAGTTATTAAATATATTCACCGTTTTCTTTGTTTTTTTTTTAAATTTAGGTACATTTCATTATTTTCAACACTTGAAAAATTTTTAGGTCAATTAATGTTCATATTTTTTTTCCTGGGCAATGTTGATTACGTTCAGCAGTCTCAAGAAAAACAGCAGATCAGAAAAGAATCGTTTATATAAAAAATGTGTTGTATAATATTTATTTATATATATATATATATATATATTTTTCCAATACATTAAAGTGATTGTGTGAATTTTAAGGAGTTACAAGAGGTTAAATCTATCATCTATCTGGTATGTTTAAAGTGATGTAATAATTGTAAATTTTAAATATTAAAATCGAATTGAATAAAACATATTCATTATTGCATTTATTTGTTCTGTTTTAAATTTTAAAAGTTTCTACCTAATTAATAACCTTTAATTACCTATCTAAATAGTTAGAAATTATTTATTAACATTAGTAATTATTTATATTAATATGATGTTTTAATGTTAGCAAATGATACAATTATTATTGAATATTTTGAATGTTGATTTTAAATATTTTATTTTGATTTCATTACTTTAAGGAAAAAATTTAATGTAATCATTTTTAATGGAATTCTCTTCAGCGAAATGTTAGATTTGTCTATCGAAGAACTGCAAAGAACTGTTGATGCATTAGAGCAACAAGTGGATCATACTGATATAGCTGATGGTATTAATTATATATCATGCACTAAATGCACACTTTATTATGATTCACATATGCTGCTGTTGCTGGCACTTTTTCAGCTTATATGTTTTTCTTTAAAAATATCAGTTGCTAGAAGTTTCTTTACTTGTACAAAAGTCTTTAATACTAGCTGCACATTTTGCTATGATTTGCATTTACTGTTAGTTGCAATTATGAATCTATTATCTTCAAATTAACAAAATTTCTTAAAAGTTTTCCTACTTTATGATTTTTTCCTATCAGTTATATAACTCAACCCATCATAAAACCAATATTTAAGAATTTTAACCAAATGAAAACTGAAGAAATCTTTATCTATTAATATTTTGCCTAGATTGGCCCTACTATTTCAGATGTCTTATAGTAATTACTCAGCCTGTATTGATATCAGCCTATATAGATTTATCTGAACCTATATTTTTCAACTACTGTTTTGTCTACCATATCTGTCTATAGTTGACCAAGCTTATTTTGGGCCATTGGAGTAGATTTTTTTTTAATGAAACCATTTATAATTTAAAACAAACCTTGTTTGCAGGTGTTTTTTTTTTCAAGTATTATTAATATTCACCTTCAATACTATTCATAGCTTGTTCCTCTCGATGAAGCTTGTTTTTCTTTGACTGTTCTTGTCTTTTCAACAATTCTCTTGTTCAAAACAAGCGTGTTGATTAAAAGCAGCATAAATATTTACTGATCCTAAACATTTACAATTCATAATGATAATTAAATGTAACAAGAGGATGTAAAAGAAAAATTACATATATAATATTTTAGACCAGATTGTGAATGTTAAAAATAAGTTGTTTTTTCTTATTTTTTTCTTGAAATAAGAGAAAGAGATTTGTTCGTTTTGATTGTTAAAAAGTGTCCAGGAAATAGACGTTTCTGGTAGATGGTACTTTGTTTATGCTACTTTGTAGTATACTTCCAACTGAAAAGCTGTTTCTAATTTATTGCGTCTGTTCATTAGAGAGAATTTAAGCAAAATAACTGAATATGTAATCATCAAAACAAAGTAAACAAAAGTATGGATGTAAGATCTATCTGTGTAGCTGATAATGTAGTAGAATATTATGTGAATCTTGATTTATTTTCGAAATATTGTGGAGCTTGTTCTACATAAAAGTACAACCTCTTTCCAAAAAGTAAGGCTAGGATCAATTTAAAAGTGATCTTTACTTTTAGATTGCTAATTATTTTCTAACTGTGTTTCTAAAAAATCTATCTTTTTTATACAAGAAAAAAATATTTTTTCTAAAAATTGCATTTGAATTTAGGTAATTAGCTTTATTTATGTTTTTATTGCATAATAATTAAGTTCATGTTCTAGATTATTTGCACATTGTATTTACACAGTTGCAATTACTTTTTACTGGGTCAATAAGAATGCATTCAAGTAAATAAATAAATAAATATGATTGAATAGCTTTCTTGCATGAAGATCATGAAGATACAACAGTAATAATTTCTAAAAAAAGTGTTAAAGTGATAAGTAATGATTAATGAATCAGGCTTCAGACTAGCACACCAAATAGTGACAGAATTAAAATTTTGATTAATTGTTACTATCTTGAAATTCATTACATTACTTGTTTTTAATGTTTGTTTTATGATAAGATTTTCAGTGAAATAATTTTTTTTATGGAGCTAGATCCTACAATGGCACTTGACTTATTAATCATTGTTATTCATAACATTTCTGTTCTTAGTCTTGGATATCCTGGTTAAAATTTTTATTATTATCTATTCTAACATCATGTAACTATTTCTTTTTCTCTCTTTGTTTTGCTTCTTAAATTCATTGGTTTCAAATTCAAAATTTTCTCAAATCCTTATTTTCACTACATTTATCTACATGGTCCAGCCATGTAGATAAAAATAGTGAGTGCATTTCAGTTTTCTATTTAATTAAATTGCAGAATTATCTATTGTTTCTTATTCACGATATATATATTTCATTTATGTATTCTAGTGTATTTCTTGAAAATTTTTTCCACATTAACACTAACTTGCATATATATAAAGTTCCAACATCAAATAAATCGTATAGGCCTCATAAGATAACCCCTCTCATTTTAAACCTATTGACTTCAAAATAGCAATTTTCATGCATTTGCCTAAACATTCCTATAAAAAAAATTTTTTTTTTTCTTCTTTAATATATCATCAAATCATAATATAAATTCTATTCTGAACCATTCATTAGCAACTCAGCAATAGAATTTGTACAAATAGTTCTAGAGCTTTGAAGAATTAGGGCTTTTATCTTACCAAAAATGATCAAATTAAAGCTAAATTGTTAAATAAATTAAAATATATCACAAAGGTCTGATGAGCCATAACTATTTAAAATAAATTTTAATTAGATCACTGCTGTGCAAAATTTATGGACAAAGCTGCCAGTGAAACAAACAGGACGGAAGACATATGAGGAGACCAATTACGGTCAGGTATGATAGGGCATAACTATACGTGCAGCATGTCAATGTGGGTGTGGGTTAGAAGGATATAAAGAACATAGGCAGCATACACTTAGCATTTCTGTGCTAGCTACTACACTCTGTACAGTAATTTAAACAAAGTCAAGTTAATGTTTTGGTGTGATATGTCCTACATATTATCCTGTAAACAACATCTGGATGTCTTCATATGAGGTCAAATCATTGGAAAGTCAGAGGAAGATCGAAGTGTGACTAAAGTAGCTGTGAAATTCAGTTTCACCCACAGCTTCATTTCAAAAGTTTAAAGAGCATCTCACATAGCTGTCTGGGAGATTTGTAGTGGTCATTCATTCAATCTCAATGCATCCTACATATTATCCTACTGGTTAAAAGGAATAAACATTAGATAACTAAAGATTTTTTAAAGCACATGCCTGGGATTACTTACTGAAGGACAGATAATGTGCTTTACTGTGACTAGAATAGGGCATAATGATTATCTATTTACCTGATGTCCAATACTGTGTGTGCTATTAAAGTCTGCTTATTGGAGGTAGCATATTCTGTGGTACCAGGAATACCAGAACTGGAGAGATGCATGATGGAATGGATGATGAATGTGCATAGATAAAAGCAGATTTAGATTGATTACCGACTGTGGGCATGTACTCATCATGAAAAATGCATGCCAATAACCCCTCCTACATCATTGAAGAGGACATGTATGGATGATATGGTGTTCTCATTTGAAGTCAATAAGTTAATTTTTATTTTAATCTTTTTCTGTGATTTTAAAATAATATCTTATTTTTTTTACGCAAAATACTAATAAGTTAGTATCTACTGTTACTTATTCTTTTAAAGTCCTCTGGAAAAAAATGGGGCAAATGTCAAAATTCATAATATTGCTGTAACAAATGTTTGTTATTGTGATGTCATTCAATCCAATATCTTTGGTCCCTTGAAATTTGTTATTGCAAGATTCAAGTGTAGTTTTGATTTGAGATTTAAATAAAGAAGAAAAAAAATTAGTTATTACTTTCAAATTCAAGCTTTAATCATTACTCAGTAAAATCATGAATACACTTCTGCCCTATTTAGTGCACAATCATTGCAATTTGACATTAAGTTATTGTGTTTATAATTATTATCGTTTCAGTTTTTTTCTTTTAAAAATTATTGATGATATGCAACAAACAAATATTTAACTAAATTTTAGAGTAATATTTTTTTTTATATTTCTTGTTTTACAGAGAGAACAACCATTCATGTCATGCCAAAATAGGCATTTTATCATTTATAAATTAAATTTATATTTCATTTAATCTTACCAATAAATAGCTATCATATTTGTGCTAAAATCACTTTCTATAAATACTCTTTCTTTAACTGCTTAGTTTACTTATATAAATATTTGAGGTGTTAAAATATAAAGATTTACTACAATGTTTTACCTTTATAAAATATTATTTATTTCACACCTCCTGCACATCTTAAATTTTCATATCTTATATAAAGGAAAATTATAACCTTAACAATAATTAATAACTGTCTAGCTAAATCATAGACTCCTTTCTCATTTTTGGTAAAGTGTTTTGAAGTTTCCTTTTACCACCACCATTTTGATTCTGCATTGGTTGGGAGTGCTCTGAGGGGCTTAGGCTCTATCACATTCACTTTCCTGTTCCGTTTCATAAAAGAACATTTTATATTGTAATTCATTCAAAATTTTAGGCAAAGTGGTTTTAAAAAAAGATTAAAGATAATCTTTATATCCAATTGATTGTGAAAACTGTGAGTATTCTTTGAGCCAGAATGAATAGAATAATATGAAAATTTGTCTCCCCTGCATAAAGCATTCACATTTAAAATAATAATGAATTTCCTTTATATATTTTGTTGAAATTATTTATAATTTCTATATTTGAAGTAGTTTAATTATTAATTATAACAGATTGAAGTAGTGAAAAACACTTTGTATTATAGTTAAAATTTATTTAGATTTTACTCTTGTTATGTAATATTTTTAACTGTTGAAAAGAATAAATTTATGTAGTTAACAATCAATTTGTTTACAGAGGATGAGTGGAAAGTTAGGTACTATACTCAAGTGGAGGTCAATGAACAGTTGGAGAGACAAAGAGATTGGCTGATGGAAAGGGTTGAAGCTGCTAGAAATCAAAGCCAAGAAGGTATTTCTCTGATTTCATTATGAAATTTTAAGGTTCTCTTAAGTAGTTTAAATTAACTTATTTAGACTATGAATGAATTTTCTTATTCTTGAGTACTATTACGGGGGAACACCACTGAGAAATTTTCAAACTAGCTTTTTTTCCCTCACATATTTGATTCATTTTCTTATTTCTAAGTGTATGAATTGAAGCTGAAAGAATGAGGATAGCAATGCTTTTTCATTAGAGTGTGCAGGGTTGAAAGGTTTTTTTATTAACTTTAAATGGTTAGTTATCAAAAAGTCTCACTTAATAAACAATATTATAACTCCTTCCATTTTTTTTTCGATTTATTTAAAATATGAATAGTACATATTTATAACTAATGTAGTTTCTGCAAGAAAAAATCCTATCTGCAACAAAAACTTATCAGAATTCTATGAATGATCAAAATTAAAAATAGAATCTATTCATTATTTTACTATGGAATAGGGAACAAATGAAGACCGCAATGTTCAAGTTCCCGTAACTTTTTAGTCTCAATCTTTAATATATAATCCCCATCTTTATTTATAACCTGGATGCACATAGAATCACAAATATTTTTGTGAAAAAATGCCCAGAGTTTGTAAAGTTTAAGGAGCTCTGCTTTAGATCATTATTATTTTTTTAAACTTAAAATTATTAATATCAAAAGATTTATAGTATATTATAAATATATCTCCTAAATACTATGTAGCACAAATCCAGATTTGCGTGAATCTTTCAGACCAGAATATAATTCATTATCACCTCAGTTATTTATTAATCAATGTTAACAATTCTTTCAAATTATGCTACAGATATAACTATTTCTCTCTCTCTCTCTCTTTCTTTTTAATCCCCATTTAGACTTGGTGAATTCTTAACACAATTAAAAATAATAATCTCATGAGATTCAATTGTCAAATAGTGAATATCTGTTTCATATAAAAACCGAACAGATATTAAAAATTGTTAAAATAAATGTCTGTGGTTGTTACAAATGATAGAATTAATAAAAAAATTTCAAATTTTAATTGAAAAATAAGCGAAACTATATTGTTATATTCTCATTTTTAGGTGTTTCTGCTTTGCTAGCTGAACTTGATCTTGATAGCCTAACTGAGGTAAAATATAAATCTTTCTAAGTATGCATTGCAAAAAGCTTTATTTCTATCTTCAGTTTTTGTAAACATTTTAGACATTCAGTTCACCTATGGCTTAAAAGTTCTTTACAAAAATTAGCTGCCAAATCGTAAACTTACTGACGTTCTTAACTAGTGAAAAATAATATTTTGGGTTTAAGGGTCAAACTTTTAAAAGTGATTTATAAGTGAGTTAAATGTAAATATGTTTAATAGTTTAATCTGAGGATTGTGGGTAGATTTTAAAAATAATATTTTTTTGATTATATTGATTATTTTTATTAATTGCATTGCAAAGAATTCTAAAAAAGAAAAATTCTTACAAATTAAAGGTAAAGGTTTAAATTCAATTTAATTATAAGAAAATAAAAAAGTCTATTTAATAAGTTATCTTTGTATTATATTTTCCATTAAATTCACTATTTCGCTATTATTCAAATTTCGGGATGTTTGTAATCCTGTTCCAACTAATTTCAAGATCCTATGACTATTTAAATCATGGAGAATATATTTACTATTTGATAGTACTTTCTCTGAATTTTGAATATAAAGAGGTTCAAGTATGAAATTATTGTACAAATTTTAAAAATATATGATATTAACTTTAAATTTTTAATAGGAAATATTGTCTCAATAACTTTTTATCAAATATATATGTGCTGCAGGACGAAGGAAACAATGCAGTTAATTTTTTTTTTCAGTTATTCATTTTTAAAAATTTAGTTTTGATTAAATTTGTTGTTCTCATAGCATGTATTTTCACCTGCCAAATTGACAAACTTGAATACCGATTAATTTAAAAGCTATAAGCTAATAAAAATATCTCATATTACACAAGAAAATACTATTCATAAGTTTTAACTTAATTTTCCCATAAGCTTGAAAATATCCTACCTTATTATTTAAAAAAAAAAATGATATACATGTAAATTTATTTTTAAATGTAGTATATGTATGATTTTATTACTATTATTGGCATTTCAGAGTCAACTTCTACGTTATTTGAAGCAATTGGAAAAAGACAGGAATTCATTATATAATGAGTTACGAGATAAAGAATGGAAACTTGATCAAGAATCCAAGGTGGGATTTTACAAATACTCTTTATCATTAAGTATTTTCAGTAGTTTTTAACATGTTCAAAGTATTTATCAGTATTTTTACTATTTTTCTAGACATTCCATAAGTTCAATGATACCAGGAAAGCCTACATGACAGAAATTACTGAAGCAATGCTTAACTTGGAAGCTATGAAAAGTCGTCTTAGGATGTTTGAAGGAAGTGAAAATGGATCAATCGCTAAGTGTCCTCGTCATTTAAAATATTTGTACGATTCTAATAATCCTACTTTCTCAAAGCTCTCATAAGACCATGGGATCCAATTATCTCATGCATCATTTTTTAGAGTATGAAATTTAATGAACTTCACTCGAAACTGATCAATTTTTACTTTAAAATATAGGAAAATCATAAATATATTTTCCATTTTAAAACCTATATGAGACAATTTCTGATTGATAAAAAAATTCTCTGTTGCAAACAAACTCTTTTTAATTTGGAGACTTCTCTTATCAACTTCGTATACTTAAAATATAATGTGCGTAGAACAAGTTTTATTGTAGTCTTCAAATTATTAAAAGTTAAACAAAAAAAATGAAAAAGCAACTAACAAAGCATGTTTTTGGTATTTTAAAATAAGCCATATTCTGCATAGAATTAAATGTAAATAGTTTCAAATAATTTATTTAAATTTGTTAAAGCTCCAACATTTTATGAAATTATATTATCAATATTATAAAGTATCAGATTTTAGTTAAAGTATCAAATCATATTGTTTAATTTTACTGAATATCAAAACATACGACAAAAACATTCGTTTTTTATAAAAATGTCCATATCTCCATAAATATTTAAGCTTGGTATATGAAATTTTGTTAAATTACTGCAAATAACAACCAAAATAGTAATTTAAGTTACAAGACTTACTATATTTTCTGACAGAGTGTTCAAACATGCTTGTTTTTCATTTATAATCTATTACCGTTTTTCACACCTCAGTAAGCCTTAAACTTTATTGATAAGTATGAGAAATACCATGAACCAAACACTTATAAAATAATCCTCTTAGTATTTTTTGAGAAATTTAAAAAAAAATTTCAACAATTGAAAGTGTCTCTTCCATTATTATGTAATGTAAGTTACTCATAAAGATAACAGCAAAGTAATTTTTCTACATAACCTTCGCAAATGTCTTTAATCCCTTTATTAACACTTTTCTATTATCATTTCTATACTATGAAAGAAAATGTCATATTATGAAATCAAATGCAAACTACTTATTTAACACATTGCATGTTGACATAATATTAATAGCTAACAGATATGTGATCATTTTTTTAATTAACAAATTTTCACTTATAACTTATTCAAAATGTTATAAGTGAACTGTTATGATAGGTATTGACAACAAAAGTTAAACCATTTTTTTAAAACTTACTTATAATTAACTTTTATTCTTATAATTATGCTTATAAGTTTTAAATTTTGATATTTTTTTGGCCTAACTTACAAAGGTTATTAGTCTGAAAATGAATAAGTCAACAAGAATTCTGTTTAAAATTCTCCTGTAAATATTTTAAACAACTTTATCTCTAAAAATTAATACTAAAATTACTATGAGATATTTGCAACTTTTATGTTGTTTTTTAATGAAACAAATATGTTATAAAATTAATCCATTTTCAAACAAAGTATTTTTCTTTTCAGAAATATTTTACCGGATCAAAGAGTCATTGATCCCAGAAAAGGACCAATTAAAAAAACTGCAGCAGTTAGAAGCCTTCCAAAACTTAATACAGCCGATAAAGATTTTAATGATGACGATGATTTATTGGATAAGCAGAGTAAAAAGTCTGCAGAATTCTAACATTGCAATTTGTTTTTAATTTAGATGATTTATCTCCATTAGTTGTAAGAATCTTATTTGCCTGTATAGGTTTTTAAAGTCTTTCAAGTCTTTACTGTAATACTCATCTCTTGCACAAATAAAAACATATTGTTCATTATACTTGGTTGGTTTATTTAGATATTTAATTAACGTAAAAATGATTGAGAGATTTATTTAATCAAAAGGTGATATCTTAGAAACTGTTGAAGAAAAAGCACCCGAATAACTTAATTATAGAAGCTAAGTTGGTTATTTACCAGTGCTAGTAGCGCAAGTGCAGATAATTCTAATAATAGAATCATTTATGAAAATATAGGAACAATTTTTCACAATTAACTAAAAGTTTTACAAATATGATTATTTTCACAAGAAATATATAATTAACATTAATCAAAAATTTCCAACAGCCAAAGTGATGAATTTTTTAAACTATCTTTTTTTATTACTGAACCATGTTTATGTAGCAATAAATGACTACATGAAGCCTTTTAATTCATGGACTGAATATTTTTATGAAGAGTAATATATTTCTAGCTTTAAAATATCAAAAAATTTCTTTATGACCTCAGTTTAAAAATTTTGTTGGTATGTTATAAAATCATTTTCTTTTAAACTTAACCAGTTTAGTGTTATGTACTCTTTTAGGAGCAATAAGGCAGCTTTTATTCATTTATGAAACATACATGTGAAAAAATTTTCCATTGGCCAATAACAAGTTTGTGTGATATGAGAAAAACATAGATGAAGAAAACATGTTCAAGATATTGAATAAATTAAGAAAGTTATTGAAAAAAAAAGATTCTTAATCTTGACAAGAAACAATGTTTCAAATACAAATGCTGTTTGCATGAGAACTGGAGGTTTCAATAAATAGAGCAAAAACATAGAATGTAAGATTAGTTTTTAATATTTTAAAAATTAATCAAAATATCAAATCATATTTCAACTTTGATTTTATGAAAAATTGGGATAAATATATTGCGTTTAATGTATTAAGGGAATACAAACTTAATGTTTTTAAAATTGTGAACAAAATGTTTTCCTCATTTAAATTATTTACTTTCAAAAATCAACTAATGCATATTACCAGTATTTTAAAAACAAAGCTCTACTTTTTAAAAATCTAAACAGATGTAAATACATATTTCACATTCAATGACTGTAACCATTAACTAATAAGATGACAAATACTTTTCTTCAAATACTGTATACAACTAATTATTTAAGTTAATCTCTTGGAAAAATGACTTAGAAAACATTGATAATATATAACTGTTAATTTTAAAATAGAATAAGTTACACACGAGTTACTTAGGAAGCAATGCAGTGAAGTGTATTTTTACATATATATATATTTTAGTTTAATAGGACTTTTTTATATTCCCTGAAGTAAAAAATAAATAATTAAAGACAGAAAATAGGAGTGATTGTAATATATGGCTGAGAAATGTGCTTTGTAACAATACAAAGACAAATGGAGGATTTGGGATTTAAAAAGAATAGCAGTAATATTTATTTTGTATTATAATAGCAGTCATATTATAGAAAATTCTTCAAACATTTATGGGCCAAATGCTTAACGATAACCCTATTTTCATCTATACATTTTAACAAATAAAGAAATCGAATTTATACAGCAGGTTTCCTTAAGGCTATTAAATTATCATTTTAGTGTTATTTTATGGAAGATTTGTATATCTCTTTGAAACTCAGTAATAATTTTTCCCCATAGTTTTAATCGACTTCTAAAAGCAAAACAAAAATATTATAATTTTAAAAAGTTTATTACAATCCACAAGATATTTTAAATTTGTTCAATGCTACTAGTTTTTAATTTTAAAAAAATTGGGTATTTATTAATTAAATTTTTTTCTTTTGATGACAAATATTTCAGCTGATGTTCAATAGAAAATTGAAATGTACACATTTTCAATTTCTAAATGAGCTATCTAATTAAACATGCAAAAGCATAACTTTAAAGAAAGATGTGCAAAAAGAAAAAGTTCAAATTACTGAATAAATTTAATTTCTCAATACACAGATATTAACAAAAATGTTAGTTTAATTAAGTTTGATTTTTGAGATGAAACCTAAAGTTATAGATTTGATTTAATAATACAAAACATATTGGTGCATAGCTGCTAACTTGTGTGGTTGTTAAAGAATTTTTTTAGTTTAGCAACACGAGTGTTTTAATGTATAAATCTTGGTCGATAAATTTTCAAAACAAATTACCACCACAACAAATCAGTAATTCAAACATGTATATATAAGGTCTATTAATTTGGCAATGTGATTAAATGTTAAGCTTTATTTTTAGCAAATAAATCCTACTTTATTTTATGTACCACTGCTTAGCTATATCTTTTCCAAGGACAAAACATACACCAACTGTACATGGATGACTTCTAATTGTGAATGATGGTAATTAAATCATATGAATAAAGATATAAAATTTCAAATTGACAGAGCTCTTGACTCTCAGATATATTAAAAGATGTAGATTAGAATACTAAAAAGGTTTGATGAATCAATTTGGTAAGAGTATTTTGTTGACATTCAGAATAAAATTTTTACAAGGCATGACCTTAACAATAAATAGCATAGCATGAATAGGAAAAAATCCAGTAGATTTTAGGAAATAACATAAAATTTAAGATAATTGTTGCATAATGTACTAAATATTTTACACATAGGAAATTTTAGGGGCTTTTATAGTCATCAAAATAGAAAATCTGCAATATTTTCCAGTTATGATTGACATTAAATGAACTTGAAATGTTAAACTTTATGTTTACTCTTAATTTCAAATATTAATAAGCATTTAAATCATCAAAGATAGTTAAATGGTTATTTTAATTAATTTGAAACGATAGTTCTGAATAAAACTGAACATTTTAGAACAAAAAAAAGGGGTTAAACTGATTTCTATAAATGAGATTTGCTTCATTATGTATTAGTAATACTTATTTAAATATTCAAGCTATCAAGTAATAGTCTTTCCAAACATTCTATTTCAATAGGGATTTTTTTAGGAAACTTACTCAATTTTATGGAATTTTCTAAAATGTATAAAAACCAGAATTTTAATTAAACAGGTAAACCTGCAGAAACTAGCAAAATCCAGTAGTCTACTGGAAAGTCCTGTGTATACAATAGTTATTGAGATATTTTGTGACTGAAATATAAAATAGAATAAAAAAATACATGTCTTAAGCAAGATAACTCCTGGTCTAATTCACTGTAGTTCAGTTATACTATTTGCTTCAGTTGGCTACCATTTATAACTCTTATTTATATTTCTGTTATTTTGTAACAGCTTATCATTAATTTTATAATGTTACTATTAATTCCATGCCTGTTATGATAAAAAAGAAATGGTACTGGTACCTAGAAATTTGAGCTTTTGTTTACTTTTGAATTAACACATTAGATCTAAAAAGGTATGAGACTTTTCTTCATATTATTAATTTTCAACAAAAACTACCAAAATTTATTCGCCAATTTTAAGACAAGTTTGCTTTTTAGAAAAGCCCTTATAATATGCTTATAAAATTGACCTGTATAAGTTATACAGCTTTGTTTAGGATATTAAAAATAACTTATCTAAATTTCAGAAAAAATACAAAATACTAAATTTTTAGGAGGTCAAACAATCAACATCTGAACAATGAAACATGATTTTTGTTGAAAAAAAAAAAGAATGATCTATGGGTGATTCTCACGAAACATGAAATTCACTGTCCCTTGCTCCAAGATCTAATACTAAAAGAACTTTTTCGTTAAAAAAATTAATAAATTGCATTGCTGTTAGCATTTTAAAATGGCTTTGCACTAGCATTGACTGTTTTGTATACTTAAAAAATTTAATTGAATATCAAAATGTCATGTCCCAAACAATATTTCCAATAATAACTAGCTTCAAAACTTCCCATACATTTTTCAAAATCTAATTTTGTTTATCTTATCCTATGTAAGCATTTCTAGAATATACGCAGAGAGTATTGATTACTAAAACTTCGTTTAAAATAATTTTTTCTGTTAATAATTTGTTTGTCCCATGAAAATCTGTCATTTTCCTGGCTACTTTTATTTAGTGATTTATAACCAAAATAGATAGAGCCAGGAATCAATATCTTATGTTAATAGATTGATTAGATACCCTCCTATCTGAACATGTCTTGTTGCATGAATAAAGAACCAATTTTCTGGCTCAAAATCTATTTCAA